TTTATAAAAGATTTTTTCTGAAAAACTCATCTTGAACTAGCTTATTCTGAAAGTTCTTTCACTAAGATAAATACTTTCAGATAATTATCCACACATCCTCCTGTGTGAGCCTTTGGTCTATGGGCCTTATGAAGTTGGGTTAGACAGAATAATGTTTAGTGTACAATAATGGACATGATTGGACAGTATAACAAGTTATTTTTCTTTCTTAGTACTGTGTAATCCTGTCCAATTATCCCGAGCAATCATGCTATGGATGTATATTAAAGTATAGGGGATAGATTGTACCTTCATTTTAATCAGATACGTGCAACAAGAAACAATTATAAAGGCCATTAGAACAATGTTAAAAAAAAACCGGAAACTTGGATTATAAACAAGGACTACATCTGAAGTTAATGAAATGAATTAAACTACCCATTTCCCTTCTATATTACATTATGGTGATAGTGACACTAAAGCTAATCTTACACTAATTAGAAACGAGAGCGTACCGGCCTAAAGCAGTGTAATAGATTCAGGTGCTTGAGCAACTTCCTGCAGGACACTTCTGAATTTTGTGTAATACCTCGTGGAAGTTTCCGATATAAATCAATCAGGTCGATATCCTGGACAATGGGAGACGAGAGACACTATCACCAGGAAACAATCATGCGATGGATTCTGATCGACTGAAAAAATTTCAGAACCAGGGCAAAGAATTGTGTATGCTACCACAGCAATGGAAGGGTGCAACAAGCCAACAATCCAGTAAGTACACCAATCCATCACTGCATCGGGCAGCACTAAATTAACAGCAATGATCAGTAAGGGATGACATATGGCAGAGCATAAACCTCAGCTGATTCTATATACATAGCTTCAGACCATACACTCAAGTCTTCCCTGACCCCACAAAATCCCACCATGGGCTTTTTCGATGGAGGATCCTTCTTGTAAAATAACCACTCCTGGTCATCAATTTGCAACTCCTCCATCTTGGGTACTGTGAGAATCTCACTAAGATACTTGAAATCAGGATGGGGAGGCCTCCTTGAAGCTTCAGCAATTAGATTCTCCATCTTGGGTAACCTGAGGACTTCATTCGGAAACTTGGAATCTAGATGGACTGATTTTTTTGATGTTTCAACATTTTGATCAATAGGAGTAGTAGCAGTCGTAGGCTTAGGTTTAGATGGACACAGTTCATGGGCTTCAAGAGTAACAGTCATCCTCTGGTCCTCATTATCCGAGCAAATATCATAAGGAGGCATCTGTTTATAGGAAGCGGATACATTGGGATTTTGGCAAGCTTCTAAATTTCTTTCATTCTCTGTCAACTGATGAGGAGTAAGCCTCTGCAATTTATTTGGTCTGACTTCACTCTCTGTAAAATAAGCAACACTGATCAGCCTATAGAGAAGGTTACCTGTAGTTGAACAAGCTTAAGCTAATTCACCAGGATATCAAATTCTAACAGGAAGTACGATGAAGTCACAAGAGACGTGACAAAAGCATCCTAAAGATGCATAAAATGTCAGGAAGTACCAGATAAGCTTTCCTTATTCTCTTAACCACAGAGAAACTAAACAAACAAACTTTTGAAATGGTTCGAATTTTATTATAATGTTCCATTCTACGAGAGGACTCACCATGAAGAAAACCATTGACATTCGCATCTTCTATTTTCCTGATATTTCCCTCATCGACAGCATTTCCATTGATGTCCATCAATAGATGTGTACTTGTATTGCTAGTAACACCAACAAGATCGTTCCTGCCTACATAGTTCGATCTATCCTGCTCGCTTTTCTTATTTTCAATTATTCCCTTCTCCTTCTCCTCCCTTCTCTTCTCCTTTTTTTTCTCCTTTTTCCTGGCTTTGTCCTTCCCATGGACTTTTTTATCTCTATCCTTGCCCTTGTGTTTGTCTCCCTGACTGTCATCACTTTTTTCTTTTGATCTCTCTTTATCTTCCAACCTACTATCCTTGTGTTCCTCCATTGGTTTGGGCATTGCTTCAACTTTACTTTTGGCCATTCCAGCATTTTTCTGGACCATGTTTGCACTGAACTCTTCCCTGAATTCTTGCAAATCTACCTTTCTACTATCAACTCTCTTATCCTTGTTCTTTCCCTTGTCCCCTGCCAATACTCCAGAAGAATCCCTGTTACCAGCTCTTGAAGTTGCCCCTTGATCCCTTTTGCTGATACCTGAAATTCTGTTAAGCAACTGGCTCTCTGCGCCCTTCTCATCATCTCTGATTCGCCTGTCCAGCTCCTGCACAAATTTTGATTCCTCAGATCCTTGAAGGAGGCTATTTTGAATAAGCTTCCCTCCGTTTTGATCCAGAAAATGTGTAGCGTGTTTCGCCTCACGTGTGAAGCTGCTTTTGATTTTGTTGTGTCCTTCTGAATGAAGCTTCTCCCCACTACTTTCCTCGAGCTTCCCAACAACTGTTGACTCATCAGAGATGCTTTTCTTCTCTCTGTCTTTTTCCCTATCCTTCTTCTTGTCCCTGTGTTTTTCCTTCTTGTCCTTGTATTTTTCTTTTCGATCTTTCTTTTCCCTGTGTTTTTCATCACTTCTTTCTTTTCCCTTTTTATCTTTACCTTCTCTTCGTTCCTTGTCCTTCTTCTCCTTCTTGTGTTTCTTCTCTTTATGCTTTTCCTAAAACGACAAGAATTATCAGCACATTCTACTCAAAACTATTATCACATTATATTACAATTTACTGAATGAAATAGCCAAATTTGAACCGCGGCTATAGTAGCACATATCTTTAGAGGATGAAATTGGGTAAATCATAGTTGAAGATTAATGCCCTTGATGAAAAGTGATGTCGTACAGGAATTTCAATGAAATAGAGAACTGAGTACATCAATAAAAACTCATGGATAACACCTTAAATAGGTATACAGGTAAATTTTGAAGCAATCATGATTGCAAACTATCAGAAGATCCATGAAATAATGAAGATGAGATGCATCAATTATGCAATCATATCAGTCAAAAATCTTCTCTCTCTCTCTCTCTCTCTCTCTCTCTCTCTCTCTCTCTCTCTCTCTC